ATCCCACATTATATTTCTATTCCGAAAATAATTGATATGTAATATGCAAGAAAAACAAGAATCAAACAATCGCTGTCGGTGCAGACGGGAATATCTAGCTCTCGGGTAACGGTTTAGCGGAAACCGACCATTCTATGATTACAACATTCATTTATTTTTTAGTTTAATAATATTTTATTGCATATATAAATATACATCAATTCATTTACATTAACAAAATTACACAATATACAAAAGGGTTGGGCCAAAAGTTTTTACAACATTATCGTGGGCCCTTCCCTTCATTTATTACATTATATTATTACATACTGACACATTATCACATACTCACACAAACAATTGAAAAAAAAAAGATGTAAATCTAGAAAAAAAAAATAAATTCAACATTGTTTGTAGTCCTGAACAAAGCTGAAATACTACTTAATTGATACAAAAATGCTACCGTTTAGTCAAACCATAATTACGATGTATGTAGGTGAAAGTTCATAATAATAAAAGAGAACAACTTGGAGAATCCGGGTATCGATCCCGGTACCTCTCACATGCTAAGCGAGCGCTCTACCACTTGAGCTCCTGGTTCGTTGCTAAACAGTTTTAATGTGTGCATGCATTTACTACCTAGCACAGCTGGATCAGCGGGAAGTCACATGACTTTGTCGCATTATCACGTGACTATAATCTTCTGTTACACAATCTGATTTTTTAGGAAATTATATAAAGTATCAAAATTAAGTTAAATGAACAACTATTCTAAAATCGTATTGTTTTCTTGATATATATTTTGTTTTTTTCCCTCACTTTTTGGGCATTTTTAATTTCAAAAATTTTGTTCTGTATAAATGTGATACTGTTGCAAATCTGGTAAAATTCATACATAACACATTCATATCGTTACTGTAAATTGCAATTGTGAAACTTAATATTTGACTCATAACAAGAAAATTAATGTTATTGATTCATCCCAAAACGAAATTAATTAATTTATTTATTTATGTATTTATTTATTTGTTTATTTTTTTATTTATTTATTATTTTATTTATGAAGAGAAAAAAATGTATTAATTGTTTGTTATTCATTTGATCACTTGACATACATATGTGTGTATATATGTAAAATGTATGTACACAAAACAACAATAACAACTGTCTGTCTGTATTTACGTGTATTTGATTATGCAGAATTAATTGTTTTATCGAGTTAAACAAGGCAGATTTTCTATATCGTTATTATATGAAACATTAAACAACATTGAAATTGTTGAGTGTTTGCGATGAGGCGATACGATAGCATTTATTGAACGCATACTGTCTTACATAACCAAGGAAATATGCATATTTGATATCTATGACTCAAAATACTCATTTTAAATAAATGTAGTTTGTAAAATTTAAATGTAAACACGTCATTTTTGATAGCCCTCGGGTTTTTTCAATATGCAGTGACGTGTATGTTGTTGTTGTTGTTATTGTTATGATATATGCCATTATGCAATACTTATCGAAGTGTGTTACAAATAATGATTAGAAATATAAATATTTATAGAACTGTTTATTCTTCTTACAATAATGATTAGAAGTATGAAAATTTATAGAAATATTTATACTTGTAACAAGTTATATTTAGAAATATAAAAATTTATAGAAATATTTATACTTGTTACAATAATGATTAGAAATATAAAAATTTATAGAAATATTTATTCTTCTTACAATAATGATTAGAAATATAAAAATATAGAAATATTTATACATTACAATAAGAGATAAAAACTTATGTCAAATAAAGATAACAACACTCATTTTCACGGTGCAATGATTTATGTTCCGGTTAACGACCTTACTTTTTAGAACGACCTTTCTATAAAACACCATCTATAGACGTATAGCTTTCCTTTCATTCGGAACAGTTCGCCTATCATTTATAATCATCTCGGAAATAATATGGAAGTAAAAGTAGTTTTATCAATGTAAACAAAGACAGAAGGTTTAATTGTTTATTGTGTAAAGGATGTATTGATTTGAAAATAGTGTCTATTTCTGTAATATTATGATTGGAAAGAATATGTCTTACATTCAGAATAATATTATGTTTAAGAACGCCATTGGCATACAATCATTTTCGAAATATCATCATCACATATCCATGTAAATGCGGTTTCTGAAAGGCATGTTATGCCTCAGAAACAAATACATATTACTCTTTTAGAAAGGGCAAACATGACATTGATAATGTTTCAATAATGGTTATAGAAAAATGTTAGAAACTTGTTACCCGAAGTGTAAAAAGGTAGCAAAATGTAGACGAAGTAGTTTTTTGACTTCCATACAAAATACTTATTCACGATAACTGTACTTATTGCCAAGATGGTTCAGGTAATAGTCCAGTGAGTAACTATTTGAATACCGTAAAGGCATCTAAAAGAATATAATTTCAAAAATAATGCTATTTTCATAAAGAGGGGAATTTGCAATGCGTATAGGATATTTGGGCCATATGCGGAGTGAAATATTGGTGAATTCGTAGTTGATTACTGCTATTTCGTGTCTATGTTTTCGCCCCTCAAAAGTCGAAGACATGACATGAAGGCACGGTAATAGGCTCACTTGTCGAGTCTTCGCCTCCGATTTTTGAGGTGGCCAACACGAAGACACGATACATTTTATGCGAAATAACGATTTTTTAATAGGCGAAGACACGAGATCTGCTCAAGTAGAATTATCGTGTCGGCTGTTAGAAATGTTCGTATCGGCGCAATATATTTGTCGTGTCGTCTTCGACTTTCGGGGCGAAGACTCGACGACAAGAAGAGTAGATAAATTTGCCAATTGTCGTGTCTTCGACTTTCGGGGCGAAGACTCGACGACACGAAAACTCGATAAATTTGCCTATTATCGTGTCTTCGACTTTCGGGGCGACGACACGAAGTCACGACAAATTTGCCAATTATCTTCGACTTTTTCATAACCTTATGGTAGTATGACAAAAACTTTTAGCGTAGAAATGACGAAACTATATAAATAATTTTGATTTAAATAATCATATAAAACAATTCCATTCGAGTTTTTGAAATTAGATTTAGTTAGGAGTTCTCGAACTTATTATTTGCTATCGTGGAAATTTACAAGCATCTTTCTTTTTATTAAATACAAAATGCATTTGAATAAATTAGTGATTAAATAAATGGCGATAAAACGAGTAATAGATATATAAAATGAACACCTTATTGTTTTTAATTACAAAACCCTGTTTCCATATTTTTTACAATGACATAACGACATCTGGAAGGTTTAACCACGCTGTTAACTTTCCCATAAGTAATAAATTTAAAATTCATTTAAACAAAAACAATATTACTATTATTTAGTCATTACTTCAAATATTCTACATTTTTTAAGACAACCGCAATTTATAAGTATGCACCGACCTTTGACCCTGAGGGTAACCAAGTGTCAGAATAACACGAGCCGTTTTAATTTTTGCGCGTTGTATCTTAGTTAGTAATTGAATACCTATTTCATATATTGATAGATTGTTTTTGATGTAATTTGTTAAAAATGTGAGTACGCAAGCGTCTGGCCTATATAAGAAACGTCTAGAATAATTTGATGTATCATTTAATTAGAAAGTACGAAAGGCAAAAGTCTGGCTAACTACTATTCAAGGACTTTAACTTTTTATTTCATTCAGTTGTGATGGATTTACGTGTATTAATAGGTAAGTTTGTGTACTTTGATAAATCAACATTAATTTTCAAACTTTTACTCTTGGTTTCTTAACGATACAATTTTTGCTTAAAGTTCATAAGCTGTCACTGTTTCTAGATATGTTTACATGCACGACAAAACAATTAACAATAACAACAACAATTTTGTTTATTTATTGATATCATAATAATCATTTCAAACGTGTAAAGACAAATCAAGAAATGCAAATCGAAAACTACTTACTGACAAAATTAATTTAAACTGTGCATTTTCATAGAATATGATAACAGAAACATTTTAAATTTTAAACGAAAATAAAATTGGGGATCACTGTAGTCGCTTTGAGGTTATCTGCCCTTGAATTTGGCAGACGATTCATAATAATAAAGGATAGCAAGAGCTTCATTAATATGCACTTCATAAAAATGATTTTTTTGAGTGAATGTGCAAAATCTCCAGAATTGGGAATCAGTAGTTGGTTTGTTGTTGTTTTTTCTTTACTATACAGTGTAACTTCCGAATTCCGGAACTTCTGAAATCCGGAAACTTCTAAAAACCGAACATTTTTTTCGGTCCCGATTTTTTCCCTTCTATTTTCAATTAATATAATACTTCTGAATTCCGGAACTTCTAAATTCTGAATTCCGGACGATATTTTCGTTAAATTAAAGTCAAATCAATGCAGTTTTACCTCCAAAAACCGGAAATATCCAAAGGTGTGAAATACACTGTAAATCGAGAATGTTTACCCTGCAGGAAGATTTAATCTCCCGATCGATTGTTTACCAAATAGCGGTGATCGTGTAATTTGACACGCGTTAAAATCACAAACAGTGAAATGGTATGTTTGAAGCGATGCGGTTTATTAAAGTAATTTACGGCGGTCAGTTAATTTGAAGTGTTTATTAGGGGATTAAATGACAATTAATTGGGACATTGTATGCATCAAACGTCTTTAGGGATTTTATTGCATTTGATGTATTAATTAATTTACTAGCATCGGACAATATGTAAGTAAAAACAACATTTCTACAAACCGATAGAAATTCAAGATAAAAATGTATTCTTTTCAATTACATCTTTATCTTGATTAAAAGACTATTATATATGATATTACAGTAATGGCCACATTTTCCTTGACATTAAGTGGCTTAGTCTTGTCCACATTATCATAAACCTCTGAATTCCGGAAACCTCTGGAATCCGAACTTTTTGACAAGTCCCATGGGTGTTCGGTTTTCAGAAGTTACACTGTACTCGTACCTATGCCAATTTTCTTTCAGAATGGCTTACTCTGTTCACAACATACAAACGCGTGTTAAGAATTCGGGCATTTAACCTATATCAGTAAATATAAATTACTAAAAATGACAATGTTTAATCAGCTATTGATATTGTCAGGTGTGGTTTGGGCATGCGCGACCCTCTGCCAAGCACAGCGCCAGATGCCTCCAATAATGTCAAATCCAAACCCAGGAGCTGGGATGCCTCCTGGTGTCCGAATGCCTCAGAATCCAAATGCAGGGATTGGCATATCATCTGGAGTAAGAATGCCTCAGAATCAAGGTTCAGGCCCACGACCTGGTATCAGAACTCCGAGTCAAGGTTCGGGATTATCACTGGGGACACGTGTCAATAATCAGATGCCAATGATACCTGGAAATAATATGAACGTGGCTAGGCCCGCACAGAGACCTGGTTCAGACCCATCTAGGACTTCGACCGGACAATGTACCGCAGCCGGTATGAGCGTTATCCAAAAATGTTTCCAGGTAAGTTAAACATGTACATGAACAACCATCTCTAGTCTGAACATCAAAGATTAAAGGTCATGACAGTTTAAATCAGAGTAGCTTTACGCAAAATACTACAAATGTAGACCATAAGAGCATAAAGATAAACGGCCCCAATATCAGCAATATTGTTAATTTTGCTATTATAATAAATCATTTTTTTTTAGAATAGAAAAAAACTAAAAGATGACATCTTATTTTGCTAGTTTGAGTTTTTCGTTAACTGTTTTGATACTGAATGTTTCTTTCTTTCAATAAATGCAAAAGCTATTTATTATTATAGTAAGTAAGATTTTTTAAACAATTTCAGGAAAATGGTGGAATACGCATGCAAAACGTTTATGCTCTTGTTTCTGGCAGTTCAATGGCGCCAGGTTCAAGAAGCCGGGCACAAATCACGTCCGCAATATGCAGGTACATTTTAATTTTAAACTCGTTTACTCGGTTTACTCGTTTGTCTATTTATCTTTTTATACTCTAGAACATAGTCAAAATATATCGGCGTGTCACTGCTAGAATCTGAGAATTTTTTTTTTTTTGTTTTTGGGCAGAATCTCGCTTCTAGTGGGGAGATATTGCCCATACACAAAAGCACAATAGGATTTAATTTTGAAAAATGTATTTTGTTTCCTTCATAAAAGGGAGGAAAATAGACAACAAATTAAGTTGATACTTTCGGATTCCCTAGGTTTTTGTTGAGAATTCCGTCATTCCGATGTTTAGTATTAATGTTGTGTTATTTCATTTTTATCCTTTTAGAAACCAAGGCAGCATAATATCGTGTATTTATGACGGGATTATGGGATTAAGGGGATCACAGGTTTGTTCGAGTACACAGGAGTATTCACAGTTAGAACACGAAACTGTTTCATTAGTATCCGCTATCCAGAACCTTTGTGGCAAAGGTATGTATTCATGACTCTACAAATAATAATCTTTCATTGGATTATTATATATTCTTTTGGTTTATTTTTATTTAAAAAACATGGTAAAGAGAAGTTGGCAGTCTTGCACATACATATTTCTGCCCGAATGTGTTATACAGAAGATTTAAATGCTGATATTTCCATATTAACCGAGCATGCGTCTTTCGCCTCTATTACGTATATGTATATTATGTGTCAACTGAGCATGCGCATGTCCCCTCTATTACGTTTCAACAGAGCATGCGCATTATATCAATATTACACATCAACTAAGCATGCGCATTTCATTACTATTTCAGGACCTTTAGCAACTCCTGATACGTGTTTTAATGATATTGACAAAAACATGCGCCAGTGTTATCAAAAGTATGAAATCAACCCGGACCCTGTTCAGTGTAAATGGGACAACTGTACTGCAATCTTCCGGCCCTAGCGAGCTTAGC